CTTGCTTTCAGTCTGCTGTAACTCATGACCATGCCAAAGACCAACAAACTACAAAATATTTTTATACACTGCCTCTTTTCATTATTATTATTATTAGATTTTTTAATAAATAAAATATATTTTTTCTTGTAAATTCAGCATTTTTAAATTAGAACACAGCTGACAAAAAAAAAAAACGGTGTATTTATTTAAAGTGTATTTATCCTGTGTATCTGAACTTTAAATCAAATGAAAGGTGCTGAGAACCAGTTGTCCTGTTGTCTTGCACGCCGAGTCACTACACTGTCCAGATGGCGGCCCATAATCCCCTCATTTCACCTGGAGACACCAGTGAAAGCGTTCATTGTTTAAGAAGGAAAAGCCCCAGCAGCATCAAAGTCATTCTTATGGTGTGTGTGTGTGTGTGTGTGTGTGTGTGTGTGTGCTCACATGAAGAATTCCCTACTCATTAGCGATAACATTTGTGAGCTTTCAAGATATTAAACCAAAAAGTCAACCACATAAATCTCATAATAAGACATTATAGCCTATACTCCTGACCTGTTAGACTGCTTTTGTCATGGTGTGTGGGCTGATAGGTGACAGAATGTTGTTTTGTTGGTAAAATACTCAACAAACTCTCCAAAAATGTAATAAACAACCACCGAGTAATAGTAGTCATTGTTTATGAATCCCTCGCATCTTCACACTGTGCCTTTATACTGTGTAACTTTATCGTATCTTATCATATCATAGCTGTTGTTTTTGGCATTCATAAGTCAATACACCACTAAAAAATCTCTGACATTAGATCTTCACTGAGCTGACCTACTTCCATCACAAATTCCTTGGTAAAGGAATCCAACAGTATTGGAATTTACTGTTTTGTCTATGAGAATAATACTCATGTTTCATGATTTCTATGACACATCTTGTGACACATCATGTTATTATCACAACATGTTTAGATAGAAAAATGTTTAAAGTAATATGCATAAATCACAGTTGTCCTGATCAAAGAATTTCATAGAAACAAAGTTACTTGAAAGAGGTGTAAACCCTTATAATGAGCTAAACTTTGTGGAACATTCCGCCAGTTGGCAGGATTTGCCAGCTTTCCTAGTCTATTTGTACTCTTCCATGATCACATTTAGACATCTTGATTAGATCTCCATGCTCATGTTTATTTGAAGCAACGTGTTTCTTCCATTGACACCTTAACAAAACCTGGCTAGGTTACAAGAATGCTGCATGAAAAACACATTCTAAGTTGCTTTTGTTTTGTTTATGTGAATGTAAGGAAAAAGTAATTCCTACAATACAGCACATTTTTATGTCCCTATCTATTTTTAAATAAATCATATTAGATTTCTTTTAACAGAATTAAGTGAACATATGGTTTAATTTTAAATAATTCCACTACTCTGGTTTGAGAACATGCCAACAAAACAATAACATTTGTGAAAAAAAGAATGTTTTACAGTTTTTCTCGATTGCTTAAACACATTTCTTGAAACTATGCCTCATATTCTCAAAACAGTAAACACAAATCCATAACGTCTCACCCAATTCCCCAAACATCCTATTTTCAGGTCAAAATGAAGCTCTACACTCAAAACCATTCACTCTTGCTGAAAGACCAAACTTTGGCCTCAGACATCACACACACACTTTCAAAAACACACACACACACACACACTACAACATAGTCTTACACACTGGTGAAATAAATTAAAAACAATACTACAAAACCAAAAACCAGTAATAAGTTATGTTGCTTGTGGTTCTCCCCCTCAAGGAACTTTCACATAATGAACACAAGACACAACCAATGTATACATTGGCACA